CACGGGAAGTGGGTGTGTTGTGTGCTTGGTCGATACATTGTTTGACTGTTTGTTTGTCTCATGTGTACTTTGCCATCATATGTCATTGCTTTTTGGGGTGTTCTATCTCTGCTACTAGCCCCGTGGCCACGTGTTGTGTGGTGGGTTTAATCGTTTTGCTTGCCTGCGTGGTCACATTGCTCGCATGTCTTTTTCTTAAGGCGGTTGTGTTTTTCTTTGCATTTGTTATTTTATGTCGTGCGTCGGGCGTCACACACACTGGCCTACCTCTCGCTTCACTTTGTAGCTCCTGGTTCGTCCAACTTTGTCACTGGTGATGATGTTCTCGTCGGCCGGTGTGTCGTTTACTCCTCCCATCGATTGAGGATTGGATATTTTCACACTTACTCGTGACTGATGGACACCACACACACTAGCCTACCTCCCGCCTCGCTTTTGCAGCTCCAGATTCGTCCAACTTTCGCTGGTGGTGATGTTCATCGTCGGTCGGTGCACCATTTGCACCTCCCATCAACTGAGGTTTTGATATTGTTGCGCTTGCTTGTGACTGATATGTGCCTTTGCTCACCGTCCCTCTCATATCCTCCTTTTTAACGAAAGGCTGTAAGGGAGGCCCCTTATAATATAATTCGTGCAAAAAACCTAAATTGCAAGTATTATGCCTTAAACTTGGGCGCGTGGGAAGGCATCAATCCCTTTCCACCACTAGGTCATGCCTTAGTTTGCTTTCCTCTCTACGTGTTAGCAGATGTTCGGGTTGGTTGCTCTATTCTTCGGTTCTGGTTGTTCTTCTCTCTTACTCCTCACGTTGCCTAAGGTTTAGGTTTGGTTTGCCTCTTATCCATGCTCGATTCAATTTTACTTACCGTGCTCTTTTTTCATGTAGTTGCCTGCAGGTTTTGGAGGCATAGGTTTGTTGTTCGGTTGTATATGGTTCGTTGAGCTTTGTCGGTTGGTGGATGCAGCTCCGAGGCACCCAAAACCGAAGGCACCTATTCGTTTGCTCTTCTTTGCTTCATCAGCCGGCATCTATTTGCTCCTCCCATCGGCTGAGGTTTAGGTGTTTTCTGGCTTGCTTGTCATTGATATGTTGCCTTCGTTCGTCGTCCCTCTTCTCTCTTCATGTTTGCAGGTGTTCGGGTCAGTTGCCTTCTTCTTTGGTTTTCGTTGTGTTCTCTTCTATTGGTGTCTTTTTCCTTCCACTCATGGCACCAGAAGACACCAGACTCTATAATGGGTACTGCACAATTTGAAAGTTCTTTGTGTTGTTTCCTCCGTTTATCTTTTTGTCATTTTTTACACTCAAGAATGGAAGTTATGGCAGATGCATTTAATATTGTGTTTTAAGAAAGGTTCACTCAAGGATTTAACCATCCACCACGTCTAGAATTTTGACGTTGTTTCGTGCAAGAGATTATTCAAAACAAAGAATTAGGCATGCATTACAAATATGGTTTGAACACCCATCTAGGTTATGATCTTGTGCTAGGGTGTGAGCTATGGACTCTTCTTCCATTTGGAAGCAACCTCATAGATGGGGGAGGCTTCAGGTGCTTCGGTTTCCATGCCCACACCTTGGACGAACACGTGTGTGTCCTGGATGCGGGATAAGGCCACACTTTGAGGATCAGCGTGAGCGTGGAGTCCATTTCTTCCCATGACATGCTCAAAGTAGGCGAGAGCGATGGGACACCGGGAGTGCTAGGCGGCTGTTTCGACCTTATGGCGCTTGTCTTGCTCGACCCACTCGGAGTACTCCCAAGCTATCTCCCAGAACCCTCTCTCAACGCGGTCCTCTTTAGTTTCACCGGGGAAAGGGCGGGAGGAGGCCGCGCTGAGAGTGGCATGGTCTAGGGGGGTGACTATGGCGGCGAGTTTTGCAACGACGACGATGGGTTAGGCCACGCTGCATTTTTCGCCGCCGTCGTAGTCCGAGGGGAGGGGGGTATATAGGTGCAAAGCATAACAGTGATGGGTTTTGGCCTCGGGGTGGCATTGGCTCTAATGGTATGAACCATATCATTTTGGGTGTCGGGGTTGTGTTCGCTCTAATGCGTTGGCTACCAGCTTGTTGGTTCACCACGACGTTGATGATTCCAATTTCTTACCACTTTTTACCTTTTGTTTTGCTTCGTAGTTTTAGATTTTTTTCTAGATTTTATTGCACTCGTGCACACCTTTTTGTCCATTTTCACCAGGATCCCAACCACAAGGAGTTTTGAGGCATTAGGAGGAAAGCCCAAGAATATGGGGTAAAAATCATGTTAATTTGTGTGATAGATGTTGGGAAATGTAGCATGCAATTTTAAAAAAAATTCTACACTCATGCAAGATCTATCTAGAAGATGCATAGCAACGAGAGGGGAAGAGTGTGTCCATGTACCCTCGTAGACCGAAAGCGAAAGTGTTTGACAACGTGGTTGATGTAGTCGAATTTCTTCTCGTTCTGACCGATCAAGCACCGAACGTGCGGCACCTCCGATTTATGCACACGTTCAACTCGATGACGTCCCTCGAACTCTTGATCCTGCAAAGTGTTGAGGGAGAGTTACGTCAGCATGACGGCATGGTGACAGTGATGGTGAAGTGATCCGCGCAGGGCTTCGCCTAAGTACTACGACAATATGACCGGAGGCTTTAACTATGGAGGGGGGCGCCCCACACGGCTAACATTTGTTGTTGTATGTTCTAGCGGTGCCCCCTCATATATATATATATATATATATATATATATATATATATATATATATATATATATATATATATATATATATATATATATATATATATATATATAGGTTGGAGGGTGTGACGCCCTCGATTCAATCGTACACTAATCATACACGCAAATGTGTACGATCAAGATCAAGGACTGACAGGAAAATATCACAACACAACTCTAGACACAAATTAAAAAAAATACAAGTTTTATATTACAAGCCAGGGGCCTCGAGGGATCGAATACATAAGCTCGAATACACAAGAGTCAGCGGAAGCAACAATATCTGAGTACAGACATAGGTTAGACAAGTTTGCCTTAAGAAGGCTAGCACAAAAGCAACATCGATCGAAAAGGCAAGGCCTCCTGCCTAGGAGCCTCCTAACTACTCCTGGTTGTCGGCGGTCTCCACGTGGTAGTAGGCACCCTCGGGGTAGTAGCAGTCGTCGGTGGGGTCGTCTGTATCCTGGGCTCCACCATCTGGTTGCAACAATCGGGTATGGGGGAAAAGAAGTAGCAAAGCAACCGTGAGTACTCATCCAAAGTACTCGCAAGACTTACATCAGATCTAAACTAAGTATGCATCTGTATCAAAGGAATGGGTTGTATCTGTGGACTAAACTGCAGAATGCCAGAAGGGAAGGGGAAAGCCTAGCCTATCGAAGACTAGCATCTTCTGGAAACCACCATCTTGCAGCAACAGGAGGGAGTAGAGTAGCATAAAGTAAAGTAGCAATAATGTTATCAACCTCGGCCAAAGATCCTTTCTCGACTCCCTGCGAGAAAGCAATCCTAGAGCCATACTATCCATTTCTCATCACAATCCATTTCTCATATCCATTTCTCATCACAATCCATTTCTCATATCCATTTCTCATCTCAAGTATCCAGTTCTAGTTGTATCGATCGGGATACAACTCCAAGTGTCCATTACCGTAGGACAGGCTATCGATAGATGTTTTCTTCCCTGCAGGGGTGCACCAACTTA